AGGATTATTGAGCATGGACTTTGTTGGTTTTGAACCAGTTTGACATGACTGTCGACGAGGGAGAGGGCCGTCAACAGAGGAGGGGACGTGCCAAAAAGACCATCTTACAGTACTATAGCATCAACATAACTGGTTTGTTCCACTTTGGAGTAAGCTGTTTGGGGAAGAATCAGTTTTGTGTTGTGTGTTTCCTTGACTGATGAAGCCTTCTGGATGGAAGGTGAAACGTTTCAGCACCAAACAAAAAGACAAAACTATCCAGATGACCTGACTGAAAATTGTTGGACTGTATACCTGGATTATTGAGCATGGACTTTGTTGGTCTTATTCCTGCACTTTCTCCATTCAACTTTCTCTCAACCCTGATCAGTATCCCTGTTCCTGTTGCTGAAAAGCACCTTTATGGCTTGATGCTGCTACCGCCATGCTTCGTTGTGGTGAGGTTGTTGGGCAGGTGAGGCGTTGTTTCTTTGAGACATACCAAATCAGTGATATATCGGTTTAATCAGACCAGATAATTTGCTTTTTCACATTCTGAGAATTCTTCAAGGAACTTTCAGCTGTTTGGCTCTGAGAGGTCTCTGTCCACCACACTGCCATAAACCTGTGATAAGCATTTAAAAAACAGCCCCTCTGTATCCCTCCTCCCACACAGACACTCATGTGACATCCCAACCTAACATCAGAATGACTTTAATTGGCCATAATAAATGGGCAAAATGCTACCAGAACTCATCAGGCACAACCTCCTTTCGTACTGTTGCATGAAACATCGCCATCATGGACAGTGTCCTACCTGTGTCACCTTCTCTGTGACATTGTGTGTCCGGTCAATGAGTTTGCAGGGTGCTATGATATCCATCTCCCCAGAGGGTAGGGCAATGAGGGGGTCTGGTTTGAAATCCACAAAGTTGAGAGTGATTTGAGGGATTTTGGAAATTGTCCTGTACTGCATGAGGTCAGAGTCTGAAGTAGAATTTAACATGTTTGACTTGCTGTTTACTGCACCTGTAAGCACAGCATAGAAAGAATAATAAAAAAAAACTGTGGAAACTGGGAATGGTAAATGTCTTTCTTTTTTCTTTTTTACCAGTGCTGCTGCTAGCTGGACGGACGCTGGGTCTTCGGTTCTTTCTGTCCCATTCTGGCCTCATGGCCTCTATCTCATCTACAGAAGAAGCCCGACGCATGCTGTAAAAGCTTTCCCGTGAGCGGCTATGTGTCAGAGAGCAGTTAGAGCCTGAACCATCAGGGTTAAGACTGAGCCGGAGACTGGGCAATACACAAGAAGAGGACTGATTAACAGGACCGGCCAGGTGGGCTTCTGGGGGAGGAAGTGCAAGAGGACAAACTGGAGGCTCAGCACGCAGTAAGGTGCGGTGGTCCTGGCAGACTTCTGGCCATTGCTGATGTGCTGAACTAGAAATGAACATAACAAAACAATATTAGTAGGTTGATGCCATATAACAGAAAAAAGTACAAAAAATAGCATTATATTTATTAATAAATATACAGTATATATATTTTTTTTATTATTTTCTGAACAGGCCTAATTATGAATCAAATTTTTGGACTACATGACCTGTAAAAAAAAAAAAGTTACATTTTATTCAATGTTAGATGGCTGCTCAGTGTGTTGTACATTCTTAGTCTATCAATCACACCTTTGATGACGTCTTTCTCTCACCGGGGGGAGTGGCGTTATCTCTTTGAGACTTTAAAGTTATTTAAATTTGGTCCCAATTTCATATCATGGGTGAGGTTGATATATACCTCCCCAATGGCGGAAGTCCGCACTAGCTGAAACATATCCAGTTAATTCAAATTGCAATGCGGTATGGGCCAGGGATGTCCGCTCTCACCACTTCTATTTGCATTGGCGATAGAACCACTAGCTGTGGCTTTACAGTAAAACTCCATCATTAAAGGGGTGAATCAATTAGGTACAGAGCACAAAGTTTCTTTATATGCGGATGACATGCTTTTGTATATATCAGACCCTCTTACTAGCGTTCCTGAATTACTTACTTTGTTTCAAAAATTCGGAAAAATGTCAGGTTATAAGGTTAATCTTCAAAAGAGCAAGCTGATGTCTGTGACCGCTAGAGAAAAGAACATATTGGACTATTTATCTTTTAACATTTGTTTAAAAAATGCCTTGGCATTTTTGGTAATTCAAGATCATAAGAACCTCTATAAAAAACAATTATCTACCTCTCATGGTGAACCTTAAGCAGGGCATTGTTAGATGGCAATTCCTACTTTACACTCTGGGGGCAGAATAAATGCTGTAAAAAGGAATATCCTACCTAAATTTCTGTATTCTGTTTCAAACCCTTCCAACATTCCTTACTAAATCATTCTTCTCCAATCTGAACAGTCGTCTATCAGTGTTCATTTGGAATAAAAAGCATGCACAGATTGCCAAGTAGGTGAATTTCAATTTGCATCTGCCCCACAGGTTTAGAGACATGTTACTTCCTAATTTCATGCACTATTACTAGGCAGTTAATATCAGAGCTCTATTGTTCTGGTTGGATAAAGATACTCCTTCTGCCAGTTGGGTGGCTTTGGAGAGGGCCTCATTTAGATTCAGTTCTCCTTCTGCGTTACTCTGCTCTCGGCTGCCTTTTTAACAGTCATTATCAACCTATATTTCTAACCCAATTGTGATCTGGACAGTTAGGATCTGGAATCAGTTCAGGAGCGCATTTAACTCTACAGAGTTACTGTTTTTGGCAATGTGTCAAATAATCATGTTTACTCCCTCAGTAACTGATGCAAATTTTAACACATGGGTGATAAATGGGGTACATTCACTATATAAAACTATATGAACTCTATGTTGATTAAAAAAAAGTTGCTTTGTTTGAGCTGCTGGTACAGAAGTTTAATATCCACAAGTCAGTTTTTTCAGATATCTGCAATTGAGGCATTTTGTGAGATCTAACTCTGTTTTCTGTTGTACCCCTCTAAATATGTTGTGGTTGATTTTGGAATGCGGGCAGCACGGTTGCACAACTGGTAGAGCTGCTGCCTCTCAGCGAGCAGGTTGTCTTGCGACCTGTCCAGGGTGTGCCCCGCCCCTCGCACAGTGATTGCTGGACATGGACACTGGCAACCCCAGTGACTCAAAATGGAAGAAGTGGGTAAAGATAATGGATAGATAATGGGTGGATTTTGGAATGCAGATCTCATAGGAGGCCCTGAGCAACATCTATACACTGCTCAGTTTACACCATGAGACAAGTTTGGATTATTTTAAGCTGAAATGGGAAATGGACTTGGAGTAATCCATATCAGACTCAATATGGCAAAAAATCATTTAGAACGTTTATTCATCCTCAATCTGTCTGAGACACGCTGTAATTCAATTCAAGGTGGCGCACCGGTTGTACTGGTCCAAAGACGAGTTGTCCAAGATCAAAATAGACCTGGATCCTACATGTAATCATAAACTATCTCCAGTTACACTCCTGCATACATTCTGTACCTGTCCCAAAACTGCAGACCTATTGGCAATCTATTTTTGACACCTTCTCTGTGATATGTGACAAAACTGTGCACACATCACCATTCATCTCACTGTTTGGGGTAGCCCCTGTGGATGCGTCCTTCAGCAAGTATGAGAAGGATGTGAATTATTTTGGCTCTCTTCTGGCCAGGAGGCTAATTTTGTGCAATTGGAAGGACCCACACTCCCCAGCATATGAACATTAGATAAGGGAAGTCATATTCATCTGGAAAAATCAGGTATACCCTGAAAGGTTCTGCAAAAAGATTCTGGGAAAACTGGCAGCCTTTTGTATAATATGTTGAAAATACGTCAATACATGTATAAATACATTTATGTATAGTATGTGTGGCTGAACTGGTATGGGTGGAAGAGCTATCATTTCTAACCTAAGCCCTAAGCCCAACCCCGCCCGACTCGAATTCAAGGTGGGCTGGGCCATGATAATGTGCTGGATGGGTGGGCCGGGTCGGGGTCGGGCTTTTAATTGGGTCAGGATCAGCCGCGATCAAATTATATGATAACAAGGCCTGTCATACTTCCATCAGCTGCACCAGGCCATTTCACCGTGAGCTGACCGGCCCTGAAAGAGGTAAAAAGTTCAGTTAAGCTTCAGATGGGACTATACTGCCAGTAAGCGATCCATCGCCCAAATGCACGTTCATTCAGCCGCTGCACTCAGTGAACGCACGTGGCCAACGACCCAAACAGGTGGGATCACAAAGCAGACGTGTCAGAGCAGGGTCTGTGAATAAATCAGAATGCAGGCAGAAGCAGGATTTAAATGCTATTTTATGACCATGAAAGGACACACATCCCATCAGCTCCAATCTTATCTTTCATTCAGTTGCACATCCCCGACGACGGGTGTATCCCAAAGCAGATGTGTGTCAGAGCTGTCCGCGTTTATGAGTAATATAGAAGAATGCAGGCAGAAACAGGGTTTAAATGCTTTTTTACGGACATGAAAGGACAAACACCCCCTCAGCTCCGATCTTATGCACCTTTTATCCCTGACCGTTAATAACTAATTAAAAATGTACTTTTTTTTCCTGGTTCGGACCTGGAATTACTGTTAATTTGTCGGGTCGGGTGGGGTTTGGAAATTATGGCTGTGGGCTGGGTCAGATTGGATTTTTTGGGCCCGAATGCAACTCTAGTGGGTGGGGAAGCGCAGCAGTTTTTTTTTTTTTTTTTTTTTTTTTGGGGGGGGGGGGTTCTTTGTTCTGTTGTTTGTGTTTAAAAACAGAAAGTTAATAAAAAATAGTGTGATAAAATCAACCCATCTTATTATTCATCTGTTTATATCTCAATCATGCCAGTCAAGAGAACACCTTTATACCTGCTTCTACAGTGTTGATCCTGGCGGTCTGTAGGCAAAGTGGGTAAGGGCATGATCTCTTCCAGGCCTAGAGACTCATGACTGTGGTCTGGATGCAGAGGCAGGGCTGTAGGTGTTGGACTGTTACCTGCCTCTGTGTCGTCCAGTGATACTTTACTGTTGGACAGGGAACGCAGGGGGGGCAGACGCAACTTGAAGCCTTGTGGGCGACCTGATGAGAAGGAGGTGGACAGATTGAAAGTAACACAGTTGACTTGCAGTGTGACAAGTATATTAAAAACTGTATGATCTACAGTAGGTGGTGCAGATAATCCCAGAAGAGAGAACGAGATTTGGAATTGATCAAATCTCTAGTAAAAATTATTTGGATTGTGCTCGAGCCACAAAGTCAAACAAGGGATGTTGCTGAAAGAGGCAGGCTATTTCAAGTATAATTGGTATTTCAGAACCTATTTGTCTGAGTTGTTTTTTGACACCTAAGTGTTCAAATATCTTGTCAAAATTTTATCAGCCTAATCTAACAAATACTAAAGAATACAGAAGATAATGAACCGAAGCACTGGCAAGGCTACAAATGAATGAACGAGCTGATTTAGGAAAATTATGATAAAAGTCTTCACACCAACTTTAATGATTAAAATGTAAATTTAAATTACAAAATATTTCTAGAAATATATGCTTTTTTATGATGTATTTGAAACTTTAGAAGAAAAAAAAGTTCTTTAAGTACCATCCATCAGTGTGGAAGACATTAAAAAACACTGCCAAGTAAACAATATTTTTTAGTAGGTTTTTTTGTTAGTCTTCATATTTTTACTCCTGGGCTAAATAAAAGGCACTTTCACCAAACATCAAGTTTAGATGTCTTCTGTCCCTCTTGGTCTAATAATTTCTGAATGGATCGAAGCGACGTGGGGGGTTGTAGTGAACACGCCGCACCTGCACCTTTGTGCCACCAAACAAGGATGAGCTGTAAAAGTTTATATGTGGTATGGTAAACAGGTTTCACGGCTCTGGATTTGATGCAGTAATGACTTGGTGGTCATTGTGATCCCTAGCCATGGATTTCAAAGTAAAACCAACAATCAAAAGATTGGTTACTGGTGAGAATGATGATGGAACAGCAGCTTTGCATTTACAGTGCCTTGCAAAAGTATTCGGCCCCCTTGAACTTTTCAACCTTTTGCCACATTTCAGGCTTCAAACATAAAGATATAAAATTTTAATTTTTTATGAAGAATCAACAACAAGTGGGACACAATCGTGAAGTGGAATGAAATTTATTGGATGTGTCAAACTTTTTTAACAAATAAAAAACTGAAAAGTGGGGCGTGCAATATTATTTGGCCCCCTTGCATTTATACTTTGTAGCGCCGCCTTTTGCTGCAGTTCCAGCTGCAGTTCCAGCTGCAAGTCTCTTGGGGTTTGTCTCTATCAGTTTTGAACATGGAGACACTGAAATTCTGCCCATTCTTCCTGCAAAACAGCTCGAGCTCAGTGAGGTTGGATGGAGAGCGTTTGTGAACAGCAGTCTTCAGCTCTTTCCACAGATTCTCGATTGGATTCAGGTCTGGACTTTGACTTGGCCATTCCAACACCTGGATACGTTTATTTGTGAACCATTCCATTGTAGATTTGTCTTTATGTTTTGGATCATTGTCTTGTTGGAAGATAAATCTCCGTCCCAGTCTCAGGTCTCTTGAAGACTCAAACAGGTTTTCTTCCAGAATGGTCCTGTATTTGGCCCCATCCATCTTCCCATCAATTCTGACCATCTTCCCTGTCCCTGCTGATGAAAAGCAGGCCCAAACCATGATGCTGCCACCACCATGTTTGACAGTGGGGATGGTGTGTTCAGGGTGATGAGCTGTGTTGCTTTTACACCAAACATATCGTTTTGCATTGTGGCCAAACAGTTGGATTTTGGTTTCATGTGACCAGAGCACCTTCTTCCACATGTTTGGTGTCTCCCAGGTGACAAACTTTAAACAACACTTTTTATGGATATCTTTGAGAAATGGCTTCTTCTTGCCACTCTGCCATAAAGGCCAGATTTGTGCAGTGTACGACTGATTGTTGTCCTATGGACAGACTCTCCCACCTCAGCTGTAGATCTCTGCAGTTCATCCAGAGTGATCATGGGCCTCTTGGCTGCATCTCTGATCAGTCTTCTCCTTGTTCCAGATGAAAGTTTAGAGGGACGGCCGGGTCTTGGTAGATTTGCAGTGATCTGATACTCCTTCCATTTCAATATGATTGCTTGCACAGTGCTCCTTGGGATGTTTAAAGTTTGGGAAATCTTTTTGTATCCAAATCCGGTTTTAAACTTCTCCACAACAGTATCTCGGGCCTGCCTGGTGTGTTCCTTGGTCTTCATGATGCTCTCTGCGCTTTGAACAGAACCCTGAGACTATCACAGAGCAGGTGCATTTATACGGAAACTTGATTACACACAGGTGGATTCTATTTATCATCATCAGTCATTTGGGACAACATTGGATCATTCATAGATCCTCACTGAACTTCTGGAGTGAGTTTGCTGCACTGAAAGTAAAGGGGCCCAATAATATTGCACGCCCCACTTTTCAGTTTTTATTTGTTAAAAAAGTTTGACACATCCACTTCATGATTGTGTCCCACTTGTTGTTGATTCTTCACAAAAAATTAAAATTTTATATCTTTATGTTTGAAGCCTGAAATGTGGCAAAAGGTTGAAAAGTTCATGGGGGCCCAATTCTTTCACAAGGCACTGTCCTTTGGACATTTTCTATGCACATCCAATTGAGAAGAGACCCTGAGACAGAACCAGAATTCACTAGAGAAATTATTTCTCCTCTCTGGCCTGGGAAGACCTTGATATCTCACAGAAAGAGCTGGACAATGTCCGTGGGGAATGGGGTGAATGGGTTTCCTTCCTTGACCTGTTGCCTACCAGACCTCATACAAGCAGCAGAGGATGGATAGAGTTACAAAGAGGATTGATATACTGATTTAAGTTGTCATGGTTTGAACATCATATGTAAAATATGTACTGTAATTGCCAATGTCAAAGTGTAGTACTAGATATCAAGGCAACTAACCTCTGGTTCTGTTTTGCTTCCATGAAGCTTGCTTGATTTCTGAAAGCTAAGATGTCTTCTGGGCATGGCCAGCTCCATATGGGCTTTGTGATTGATCAGAGGCAGCTTAAAGATTAACTGATTTTTGCAACCTTTTTCACAGAACTGATTGACGTGCACTGACCTGTACCGTGCCTTCGACTATTTCCTCGAAACCCACAAAATGTGGTGCAATTAAAACTAGTGGTACTCCACTAATAAATACTTGGTCCATACCAACAAGAGTCAAATCTGTAGCACTGTATATGTGGTGCTTGACTTTAATGATTAGATGGAACCAATTATTAAGTAAAAATGCACCTCAGTGGAAAATCTTTTAGTGTTCATTTTCTTCTAGGACTTGATAAATAAATATTTAAGTTATGCAATAATTGAGTATTTTTTTTGTGCATTTATAGACATGATTCTAAAGTGAAAAAGTTTGAGAGCCACGGTTCTAAAAAGCTTAATATGCACTGATTCATGGTGAACAACTGAGGGAAAAAATAACACCAAAACTTATTTAAACGGGTTAAATGGTTTAAGGTGCATTGGTTCCATGCAGCCATTGCACAGAAATAGCAACACACATGCACTACTGTCTTGGCTCTTTCTTTGCTTCACAATAAATTAAAACAATACATTTTGAGATAAACTCAATCAAATTGACATTTAGTTTTTAAACCTTTTGTTGCTAACAGGTTCCATCAAAACTTCTCATGCAAGACACTAGTGCTACGCAGTAGTTCTTAAAACGTTCTCCATTGCAGTTTTGTTTTGAGTAGTTTCAATTCAGCAAAAAATTAAAATAAAATACTGTAATCGGTTTAAACTGTTCATCTTTTACCAAACTTTGCTTTTCAGCTCAAGATCACAGATCATCTTACAATGGTTGTTTTTTAAATTTTTGAATGGCTGATACAAAGTTTCTTCTGAATGGAGCTCAGAACCCGTACATGTACCACAGTTTGAGAAAAATGACTAGATGATAAAAAGTCATATCAGTGTTTGTGTTTACAAGACTGTGCAATCAAAATGCACCAATGACATCACCCTAACACTTGGCTGCAAAGACTGATCTGCAGTTAAGTTTTGGCCATCTTTGTTGCTGGAAGAATATTTGGAAGGTGTGGAGAATGGGTAAATACCTGAAATGAGCCATGTGGGCAGGCGATGATTCAGCTGTCGTTTACGGTCTCTATGTGCTTCCTCAGTCATGACATCAAAGTTCAAGATGAACATGATCACCACGCCATCCTCATTCTTTACTGGTACCACATCCACTATACACAGGAAACACTGACCTGCAGAGAAAATATTAAAGATCCCTCAGACTGCTGGTGTACATTCTCAGACATACAAAGCATTGATTAAGAAAAATACTTTTGTTTGAATATATTCTGAGCAAAAAGGGGCAGATATCATAAGATTTATTCTACTTCTGCTGACTTTCATTTTATTTCAGATTGTATACATATTTTTGTTTTCTATTGTATATAGTTATTTTGTTTTTAATGAAATGAATAAATTTCTTTAAAAAAATAATAATAAAATAAAACAATCTGCACTTTTATTCTGTAATTCAAGACATTTCACTTTCTACCTAGGGAGCTTTCTCAATACAAAACTGAAAGTACGGAGTTTCAAGATTTAGGCTGCATTACTTACTCCCTTGGGCAGCAAGAGTCACATACAGAATAAACTTGCTCCTCTCCCAAGACAGAAATGTAAGGTTTCATTTATTTGGCTCACAAGAGAGATGCTTTAGTAACCCTCTAATTCATAACTCCATGCACAGAATCAAATCATCTCTTTTGTAATCCAGACATAAAAAGACAGATAGGTTAGATTTTATAGCCTGATAAAGACCAGATCTTTTATTAATATTGTTAATTATTATTATCCATCCATCCATCCATTATCTTTACCCGCTTCTTCCATTTTGGTTCATGGGGGTCGCCAGTGCCCATGTCCAGCAATCACTGTGCAAGGGGCGGGGTACACCCTGGACAGGTCACAAGTCCATCACAGGGACACATAGAGACTAACAAGACAAGCAACCATTCACTTTCTCATCTAGGGACAATTTATAGTTACCGATCAGCCTAACATGCATGTTTTTGGTCTGTGGGAGGAAACGGAGTACCCGGAGAAAACCCACGCATGCACGGAGAGAACATGCAAATTCCACCCAGAAAGGCCCCTGGACCGGGGTTTGAACCAAGGACCTGCTCGCTGAGAGGCAGCAGCTCTACCAGTTGCGCCACCGTGCTGTCCTTAATCATTATTAGTATTATTATCATTATCATTATCATTATTATTATTATTATTATTATTATTATTATTATTATTATTATTATGTCCTCATTCAAAAAAATTACAAATGAAAGAGGATGGTCTAACCCCCACACCCCATTGTGCCTGATCATAGATTTTCAAAAAAAACTATAAAATACTCAGATATAGTCAGATATGCCCCACAAGGACAAACACATTATATCTGAAGCCCAGTGAGTCATGAATAAGGAAGCAGTGATCTTTGGTGTTTTGAACCACTTTGGCATGACTGCCCCAGAGGAGTTGATGGGGGAGAGGGCAGTCCCAAAGGTCATCAGCACCAGCAAACTGTTTTTTTTTTTTTGCAATATGGAGTATGCTATTAGTGGGAATTAGTTTGTTTGGTGGCTCTTCAGATTTACAAAGTCCTTTGGATGTAGGACGAAACGTCTCAACAACAAACATAAAATAAAAAGCAACTGTTCGGATGACCTGAATGAACATTGTTGGACTTAAGCAGTGTTACAAGGCCAGTTATGCCCAAAGCCCCCCTCTAGGAAGGTGCCCAGGGAACATCCTTACCAGATGCCCGAACCACCTCAACTGGCTCCTCTCGATGTGGAGGAGCAGCGGTTCTACTCCAAGTCTCTCCTGGAAAATTGAACTTCTCACCCTGTCTCTAAGGGAGAGTCCAGCTACCCTGCAGAGGAAACTCATTTCAACCACCCGTATCCACTGTAGTGAACTAGGCCTCCGATCAAACCTGCCTCTGAAGACCTTCATGGGACAGGAACTGTTATTTCATTGATTTGAATCCAGAAATACAAATTAGCTCATCCAGAGACTTTCTAATTGTATCCTGAACTAATCAATTGAAAGAACACTCTTTTTTTAATATATTATCATTACTATTTTACAATATCTTGATAATCAAAAGTGTGTTTAGTTCATACCATTTTTAAATGTTGAAGTGAACCACTCATTTTAAATCAACTGTGAAACAGTATTAATGATTTTTTAATCCTCATTCAAAGTAGAAATCAAGTTAAATGTCTATTTTACAAAGTAATTATGCATTTTTGATCTTCTGTCTGAAATGAGAAGTAGTGATGTCGGTCAAAAGTCGGAGACAGTCCAAAACAAGTTGTTGGAACAAGCTGTTGTGTTTTTAAACCTCTCAGACAGAAACAAGAGAACTGGCACCTGCAGTGTTTCTCACTTCGTCAAAACATTTCTCTGTCTGTTCCTAAACATTTCTGTTGTTTTCTTGACTTGTAATGACCCTCTGACGTCACTAAAACCACACCCCTGTTGGTTCCTCCAACCAATCAGGACTTCTTAAAAGTGACCAGAAGCAGAACTCTTTAAAAGTCGGCACTTCCTAGTTCGGTTAGTTCTTCTGGTTCTGATGGAGTTCGGCTGGAGCTCCTCGGAGTTCTTCTGAGTCTCTTGGAGTACTGTGGAGTAGTTCTGGAGTTTTTCCACTGCTGAGTGGAACTTCGGACTCAGTTTTCCAGGCTGATGGAGTCATCCATCTCTGCAGGAGCCACGACGCCTCGCTGTGGCTCCACCCGGCGAATGCCCTATAACTGCTGAGGAAGTTTGTTCTGTGGAACGGATTATCTCACGACTTCTGCCGAGTCGCAGCCGCCCTGAGGAGACGCTGAAAGGTAGCGTGCCAGGGAGACCTCTTGACCGCAGCTGACCCATTCTCCGCCAAGGTAAAGAGTCGTCACTGGCTTCACTACAAGTGTACCACGGCGAGCTGCGTTTGAAAGGAGCGTGTTGTTCTGGTCTACAGACATACATCCTCATCCATCTTTTCTCTACATTTAAACTCCTTCATTTCCCATCTTTAAAACTCTTCTATCTTGCCAGTAATTAATCCAGATATCTTCATAAATGTCTGTTGTTTTTATTAAGTAAAACGTGCCAAGTTTTATTAATCAGAGCCGATAGCATAATCAAGTGTACAATGTTTTGATGTTAAATTTTGATTCTGTTAATAAATGACCACATTTATTTTGATGGGTCAAAGAAAATTAACGTCTCATGTCACTGATTAAAACATCGACAACACAGTACCTCTGTCACATATCTGTCAAGTAGCTCGAAAAAGAGAGAACCCGTTATTAAAATATGACTGTAGCGGAGCTCGAAGCTAACCTAGCCTTTTAGCACACTACACCACGATCTTGTTATTTCAGTCACTACCCAGAGTTCATGACCATAGGTGAGGGTAGGAATGTAGGCTGACTGGTAAAGAGCTTTGTCTTACAGCTCAGCTCCCTCTTCACTACAGTGTACCAGTACACAGTTCACATTACTGCAGACGCTGCACCAATCCATCTGTCAATCTCATGCTCCATTCTTTTCTCACTCGTGAACAAAACCCTGAGATATTGAACTCCTCCACTTGAGGCAGAACCTCACCCTCGACCTGAAGAGAACAATCCACACTTTTCCGACTGAGGAGCATGGCCTCAGATTTGGAGGATACATACAGTAGATTCTAAAAATGCATACCTTCATTGGACAGGTAAACCATGAATTAAAAAAAATCCATGTACAGGTTGCACATAAGTTTAAACTTCTGGATTATTATTATTATTATTCAATTGTCTTGATTAAGTTTGACCCCACAAGTATATTCCCACTTGTATATTCACCCTTCGGCGGCAGGTGATGTTGAAAAGAGCAAACAAACGGAGTATCAGGTCCTACTTTCCCCATGTTATAGTGACAAACTTTGCAGTGTGAAAAAAAATCACAAAACAACCGTATCTACGACGTCAAAATGAAAGTTTTACATCAACTTCTTTGAGATTCCTTGAACACCATTAAAAATGATCATTATTTGTCAAATCTTGCCTACAGCAAACTGTCTAGTAATGACACCAAATACAAAGTACTAGCTGAAGAGTAGAAATGTTGTATCACTAATGTATTTTCTTACCTGATCAGTGATGATTCATTATCGACTTAACAAAACAAGCACCAGCTGTTTTTGGTTAATATGAAGCACTTCGAGTCATCGTGGTGTCTTGTGTAACCCAGTATTTTCCATTTCTGCCTCACCCAACTTGCCTGCCATTCATCCCACATTAGTTCTGCAGAGTGGGCTGAAATCCGATTGGACAGCAGCATAATCCTGACACAGTTGGGAAAAATATTAAATGCAGAGAAAACTGAAGGATTACACCATCTGTCTGCATCTATTAAACTCTTGTGTGAGTCTCTCTGCATGCTTCACGTATCAGGGAATATCCTGACTGATTTTCATTCAGGGGTTCCAGGGTTATGTTCAGTCACATCTGTTTTACATGCAGCGCTTGACACCTACATTTGCAACATTTAACCTGTTGCTAAATCAGGATAAATCGTTTTAGAAACCTCTGCAGCCAATGCATGAAGGGGGCACACTTTGTCTGTTGGTTCAGTAATCTTTATATATAAGTAATAACTGACTCTTTAAATTTAGAGTTCCAGAAATCGTGACTGCGTGTCACATTGGCTGCAACAGCCACATCTTGTGAAAAGTTTTCCCGTGCGCCGGTAAAAAAATAAAATAAAATAATTGGAAGTGGGCATTAGTAGCTACGGTTGAATAAAAATGACCACAGACAGTTGTAGAAGGCAGCAGGAAAGGAACCCCTCATAAATTTGTAAATGTGTTGTATTGCAGACAAGAACCAGACAAAGGTATGTTCTGCTTTACTCCCTTACTAAACTTCAAGCAGGTAGAACATACAGTTTTAATAGATCACCCCTCGTCTCCTCAAATCTCACTTCTAAAACTATGTCACAACAACACAGTGGCATGGCCACAGAATGAATATACGTAGAAACAACATCTGGTGATATACTGTGGTAGTTTTCTGACAGTTTTCTGGCGTGTTGCATTTAGGCCAGGGGTGCCCAAAATGGGGCCCACAGGCCAAAGTTGGCCCGCCAAGTCCTTTGAGTTGTCCCGCCAGGCTGTCCTCATTACTATATTAAAATTTCCTTTGAAGAGTCAGTGTGTTTA